TATCTTGTGGTAAATATCTTCGATCTATTCTTTGAGGTGAAGCTTAGTGATTTTGTACTTTCTACATAAAGTATAAATGATTTTCAAATCTTGTTGTTTATTTTACATAAAGGTGAAGCTTCTTGTTGTTTATTTTACTTTGTTTAAATCTTATATCAAAAGATTTTCAAAAGTAACAAATGTCGGTTTTTGTTTTTCTCGAGTTTATACTTTGAGAATGAGTCGAATTAGTGGATCTTCCTATCATTGGACTTTTCATGATTCTTAACTTGAGTTTCAAAACTTTGTTTCTCATTTGATGAAGAATGAATTTTAGTGATATCAATTTTGGTATCAAAATGTTTAAAGGTCTTTGAAGTTGAATTATGCCAACTTTAAGGGTTGAAGTCTTTGACTTGTGTTTAAAACCTTAATTTTCGAGAGTTGAATTGAGAATTGACTGAAGTTTTACTAAAGATTTTCTTATATATGATAAGAAATCTTATAGGCTTTGAGATATGTTCTTGAAGTTTACATATTTGGTCTTTGAAAAATTTGATTTTCAAATGGTCACTTGTGAATATGGCTTTGTTGAGTCATTAAGTCGTATGAATGGTTTGTGTTAAATTGAGTATTATGAAGCAAACGTCATAGTTGACTGAGGAACTTTAAATTCCAACTTCATTATACTTATGGTGTTCTTGTTACTTTATTTGCCATAGATTATTTTGGTAAAAAGTGATTTTTGTTAATTGCATACAATTTGGAAAGTGGTTTGTAGAAAATATTCTAAAGGTTGTTCGACATTTTGGAAAGTGGTAATTTCCAAGTTTCCTTTTTAAAGTGAGTCAAAAGTATGTTTTCAAATTTTAACTATGTGGTAAAAGTTAAATTTTGAATTTTTACTGATTTATTGCATGTGTGTGCATGTGTTTTATGTGGAGTTCTAAGCCTAGTTGGCTTTGAATTTTAGAGTCATAGTATAGCCGAATTTTGGAGCTAAAAATTAGGGTTTCCTAGTCCTAGTTGAACTTGAATTTTGGTTGTCTATCTGTGTTATACTTTGAGACCTATTTGGTCTTGTATTTGTGTGTTCACATGGCCGATAAATTTTATCCCTGAAATTAAGATCATTAAGTCCAAATTGTGTTATGATTTGAGACCTATTCGGTCTTGGATTTTTAGTGTTCACATTGGCCGAAATTTTCAGCCTTTGTTTCTTAGTGGTAATACAATTTTATTATGTGTTTTATTTGAGTCCTACTTGGATTTAAATACTAATTTTTGCATGAGTTAAATTATAATTTCAGTGAGATTATAATTAGAGTTTTAAAGTGAATCTATTTTCGAAAACTATTGAGATAAGGAAGTCTTATCCTAATCTGAAATTTTTTTTTTTGAGTCTTTTAATACAATTGTGCTTGTGTTTGGCTGTGTTTTTGAGTCCTAATTGTAGTAGGGGGTCGGATTTTTTATCTCTAATTAATAGGGTGAATCTTTCATAAGTTGTGTCCAAAAGAGATTATGATTACCTAAGTTTTAGGACTCTATCCTTTTCTATATATATATGGCCAGATTTCTTCCTTTTTATTCCATCTTTTCGATTAAATTTTATCCATTAAGGGGGATATTTTTGACAAAATTTAGGTCCTATCTTATAGGAGTTTTCTTGCACAAAAAGACTTGCTTTGCCTATAAATAGGGGTGCTGTTTTTTGAAAATTCTCACACCACTCTACTCCATTCTTCTTCTTCTTGTTGTTGCCGAGATCACAAGGGTAAAACAATAGAAGCACTTCTCTTTACTCTGAATTTTTGAGAGTTATTGTTCTTAAAAATACAAGAGAGTTTTTGTTTTTGGGGAGAGCAATATTCAAACCTTCCTTTGGTTCTTGGGGGGTTTTAGCCGAGTCATTCATTGGTTCAAGGGTTCAAGGAGTTCTTTGTGTAGTACCAAAAGCACAATTACTTCTTTTTGGTGGTTTTTCAACTTTGTTGATTAATAGTGAGTTCTGAAATTGCTGGTTGTTGTCAAATAGCAATAAAGGGTGTTGTTGTACAAGCTAAACCCAAAGATAAGGAGACAATCAAGGCTCTATGAGGCATACTACGCTGCCTTAGAAGTGGAGAGAGAGCATGATACTTCTTGTGTTTGGAATGGTCCAATTGAGGATCAAGGGTTGGTGTTTGGCACTGAAGATGGTGATCAACGGACATGTATCTTCCGTACTAAGTGTTCGGTTGGATGATCCAATGAAGTTGATTTGGTAATCGATGGTGGATCGAGTACTGATTATATAAGTGAGGAATTTTGCATAGCAAACGGAATCAAGATGGATCCGCATACTGGACCATACAAGCTTCAATGGTTGAGTGAAGAGATAGTTGTGGATGTCACTAAGAAAGCCATGGTATCTTTTGAAGTTGGTGAGTATAGGGATGAAATTTACTTTGATATAATTCCTATGTCTCTTTGTGATGTTTTGCCAGGTAGGCCTTGGCAATCAGATGTAGATGATGTGCACCATTGCTCGAAAAATATCTTTGTCTTTACTAAAGAGGATAGAAAGTATATTCTTAAGCCTTTGGCTTATGAAGAAGCTGAGTCTGTGCGAGAGAAAAGACGTAATATAACCTATACACAAGGGAGAGAAAAAGTCGAGAGAGTGACGCAAGAAAGTAAAAAGGGTCACGCTGAGGTAAGACTTGAGGCGAGAGAAAACCATGAAAATAGCATGGAAACAGAAAAAAATGCACGCAATGAGAGAAAATCAGAGTGTGGTGAGGGTGAGGATTTTACTAACCCTTATATCTCGTTTGTTCCTTGTGCAGGTTTAGAGGTTGATGATTCGAGGACGAATCCTCTTAAAGAAGGAGGGGATGATGAGAATCATGTAGCCTTCCATGGTGATTCTCCTAGTGAGGGGAATGAGCTAGTCCTTCATTCTAGTTATGGAATGCCAAGTTTACTTTGCAGGCCAATCAAGGAAGAAAGGATGGATCTTAACTACCTATGTGATAGGGAGTTGGTTCAAGAGAGTTAAGATCGAGATGATGAGAATGTCATTAACTTTGGGGTTCAAACCAAAGGAGATGATTCACTCATGGAAATAAGTGCTCAAGAGTATCAAAGGAGTTTGACTCTAGGTACTCCATGAAGATCATTGATCAAGCTAGAGAGAAGAGTCATTTAGGTTCTTGAATGGACGGCCTATTTGATCAAAGTGTTCAAGATTGAGTCCATTGCTACACAATTGGATAGGTTGCAAACTATCTGAATTGTTTCAAGTGTTTTTCCATTCTTTTGGAGTCAGTAAAGAGAATTTTACAAGTTTTGGAGTAAATTGGAGTTATCTACAATTTGAGGGGCGTAAGACCAATATTCCACTTTTGGAAGGGCGTTCAAGACATTTTACTAAATATTTGGAGCTGAAATTCGAGATTTAGAGTATTATCTTGTCTAGAAATTTATTTTCGAATTTATCTAGTTAAATAAGTCATGTGGACTGAATTAACTTAGAGTGTTTTGATTAGGAGTCTTAGATTCCTTCTAAGTATTATCCTATTTGAGGATAAGTCATTTAGATAAGGTTTCCTAGATTTTAGGTAGAGTCAAAGAGATCAAATACTCTTCTACTTCTACTCTTGCGTGAGATAAGATTAGAGAGTCCTAGTTGGTCTTCTATTTTTGTGTTTGGCCGAAATTTATAGCCTATAAATAGGGAGGGATGGCCGAAAATTAAAGCACCCATGTGTGGTCATTTGAGTCTTCTCTAATGGGATTTTCCTGTGAGAAATTTTTGTTAAATGGTGTGTTCATTTTTTGTATCAAGTATGATTTAACCAAGAGGGTTTTCATCTTGTCTTGGATCTTTTGATCTTGCAGAAACCGTTCTTTTTCAAGTATGCTTCTTGATAGAATTGTTTTAAAACTAAACTTCTTATTTTCATACTACTTCTAGTAGTTCGAGAGTTGAGCCTTTCTTTTGGCTATGCTTTTCGAATTCATGATGTGTGTGTTCATAAGTTCCGTCGTGGGGTTTGTCCTACTTTTGTTGGATGAGTTGTGCTTTGGCATAAGCATTTTGAGATAGTGTATGTGTTGCATATCTTTGTTGGTTATGGAAATTACTAAACAGCCCAAACAGCCCAAAGACTGGTTTAAATAGCATCCAAAAAAAGTCCAGATCATAGACCAAATAACCAAAAAAATATAAGAGGCCCAATGTAGGCGTAAACTATCAATCCATCCAAACCAAACCGCTGTTCACGGTTTAGATTAGTCTGACCTTAGTATGCTATCGAACCAGTTTTAGCTTCTAATTTTTAAAACCATTTCTATTAGTTTGTTATGGTGTTGTCTAAAAATCGGATCAACCGGACGGTGAACGCCCTTGATAAATGATATCATTCTACATTTTTATAAATGATTATTATTGGGCTATTAGATAATAGGCTGCCCATCTTCTGGGCCTTAATAATCATGACTAAGTGAAGCTTGCACTAAATTGGACCCAGAATGTTATTGCATTCTAGGGCCATACGTAGCTCACGATTCTTTTGAAATTTTGTTCAGAACATATTTTTGCCTGTTTAAAAAAGAAACTGAAATCACGGTTTACGGATCCGCGACACTATTTGGTTAACGAATATCACCAGGTTAAAAAGAAGTTTTAAGTATTTATGGAGAAAATTTAGAGAGATTGAATTACTATTAAATAAAAATTTGTTAGTACAATTCAAGTATGTTCAAAGCGAATATGATAGTAATTTTCTTGGGGGTTTTTTTTTTTTTTTTATTTCTCTCGCATGGTTAGGAGTGGACTTTGTCTACATTCCAATCCATTGAGTAGAAGTTTTGTTTCTAGGCAATAGCCTCCATGGTACCAAAAAATAATAACAATTATAATAAAATTAAGAAACTAATATTTTTGTATTCCCTCCCTCATAGAAAAAAAATAAATTCAATTTTAAAATTTGGACTTTCCTAGATGTATATGATCAATTTTGTTTTTTTTTTTTTTTTTCATTAATGAATAGACATAAGCGGGACAAAGGGAGTAAGCAAATCACAATTCAAGACTTAGAACACAGTATCCACGTAGTTTGTGTTTGCTTCACTGTGATCGTTGACTAATGCTGCAACAGTTTTACATGTCATGAGAAAAAGAGTCCCTTTTTGGTAAAAAAGGAAAAAGAGGGGGAAAAAAAAAAAAAAGAGAGATCAACAATGTTTCCAGAGACCATGAAATGAAAATTGAATCTGTAGGTGATTTGACTCCACATTGCACATCATCTAAACACACGTAGAACATGATTGGCACAGGAGAAACCACCATCGACCATAAGGTTCACCCCGCTGATGTACCTGGATTCATCACTAGCTAAGAAAAGCACAGACATAGCAACATCATGAGCCGTCAATTCCACACCTTGCAAGTTCGCATTCCTCCCGACAAAAGATCGAAAACCATCCATGGCTTCGGCGGTTTTTTCTTCTTCAGGTAAATGAGCTAGAGCCAAGCTTGTTGCAACTGCATAAGGAGAGACACTGTTCACCCGAATGTTATGCCTTCCCAGCTCAGCAGCTACATTCTTTGTAAGCCCCGTCACGGCATGCTTAGATCCTACATATGCATGTGGTCCTAAACCACCAATTGCACTTGCAACACTAGAAATTGAAATGATAGAGCCCTTCTTCAATGGGATCATAATACGAGCTGCGTGCTTCATTCCCAGGAAAACACCTTTTACATTGATATCGAATACTTTTTCAAACACCGAGAGTTCAAAGTTACGAATATCTTCAACAGGCGGACCACCCACTCCAGCATTATTAACCATTATATCAAGAGCGCCAAAATTTTCAACAGTGAAGTCAACAGCACGACTTACATCCTCTTCTATACTTACATCACAATGACAGTATCGCACATTGACATCATTACCTAAGTCTGAACAGAGTTTCTGACCAAGATCATCTTGAATGTCAACAACACAAACCTTTGCACCATGTTTGTGAAACAGACGTACTATGCTCTCTCCAATGCCACTAGCACCTCCAGTTACCAAAGCAACTTTTCCTGATAATCTTTGGCAAGGAAGAGGAGAATCATCAGCAATTGGACTAGCCATGTTCTGAAACTCTTGCCAACAGCTTCCCCAACACAGCTAAGGTTATTTATACCCCTGTGTCACTTCAAAAAAAAATCAATCCACAGAATTTTCATACATTTTGATAAAAACATATAAAACTCATGCATGAAATGTAAGATTTTATAAAGGCCCACACAGCTCATAAACTAAGTGCCATTAAACCCCTGTATAGAGCCTAGTTTTCTTGAGTCAAACCTTGTGTTCAAAGAATTTTTGAGGCTAGAACTTTTAAAACAACAGAGCATAATACTACAAATGATCATAATGCCCAATGCATACGATAGTAGTTGTACTTGCATTCCTAGGTCTACCCTCAAGAATCCCTATCAACTCCACATTTCAGTTCTATCTCCAAATTGATTAATAATAATTGGAACTCGAGCATAATGTTTTTAACCATCAAAACAGTTTAATCTCCAAATGAAGCCTTCAAGAAAGGATTCAATTCAAGCACCATAACGGACAATTTCCTATATGTTAGAAGAGGTTAAAAAGGGATAACTCAGCTAAAGATCATAACATAACTCAGGTCAAAACGAGCATGAAAATAGAGGTGGGGAAACTAATTAACATATGGAAGGAAATTATGCAAGAATGAAAATAACTCTACGGAGAAATTCTTGAACATACATGCGTGTGAGAAAGAAATCCAAAAACGAATCTATCATCTCCGACCTTCCTTGTGCCGCCCCAATGCAGATCAATTAAAAATCATCAGTTTCACCAACTTTTACCACTTTGAAGAGTGAACATAAGTATGTGGAAAATGCCTCAATTTTTTTAACCTAAAATTCAACCAGACTACAGAAAGGTGGCCCATATCAGGGCGATCATGACCATAACATTAGGCAGTTTCTTTGTAATTAAAGGTTCTCAATAAATACCACCCCTGCCACAAAGTTTGTTTCGGACGCTACCTAGTATTTCCAGTAACAGTAGAGGGCTCAAACTTCAAATTACCCCACAAAACAGTAACAGAGCATACAAATAAGTAAACACATTTATGCATAATCAACATGAGAGCTACAGGTTCAATCAGGTCGCAATGTTATCCAATGAAGACCCATCACCATTCATCCATCAGAAGGCAATTTAAGTTGGCAAACAAGCAGATATTTCAACAGCACAATCTCACCCAAAATTAACACCATACTCCCAAAACCGAACTACCCAAGAACCATTACAGAAAGAACCAATTATCTCAGCTAAAAGAAAAGGACGTTCCCAGATGCATATAGAATAAAAAGAAAAACAATGCGCATTTCTACCCCCAAATTCTCCAAACCCGATTAGGAATCGGGGCGACATTTTTTAATTTTTAGAAATTTTTATGTAAGAAAAAAAAAAAAAACCTTTCGAGCATCAAAGGGGCAGCGACAAGAGTGAAATCAATAGACAATAGCACAGTCAATTAGGCCATTTTTTCGAAAAAGTTGTTCTAGCCCAAAAAATTCAAATTGAAAAGTAAGAAAGGGTTGGTGGTGACGGCGGTGGTGGTGATTAGCTAACCTGAGAAGTGAGAAGGAGTAAGACGGCGGAGGCTTTGCAGTTTGTGAGGCTGGGTGAATGAATAGAGCTCCAAACTTGGCAGTTTGAATTGAATTGAAGGGAGCAAAGCAACCCCCAAAAAAAAAGAGAGGCAGAAGTGATCACAGAGAGAGTGGAAAGACAGCTGGAGTCCGGAGAGCGGGGAATATGAAATAAAAAAGGAAAGATGGAAAGATCTGACTAAGACAGTGTGAGTCACTGCGTTGACCAAACCCCAACTCAAAGAAATTTTTATCCCGCTCGCTCAATTAGGAAAATAATAGATTTCACGGTAAAAATTTAACGTTTAAATAATTAATCTTTTAAATTTACTATTTATCTTTAATTTTTTATTACCTTTTTTTATCTTAATTACCTATTACTAATTTACCTCAATTAGTTAGTATAAGAAAAATACTCCCTCTGTTCCACAAAAATAATCCAGTTTAATAATAATCTTGTCCCAAAAAAATAGTCCAGTTTCAGAAAAGTCAAAATTAAAAGAGACAAAATGACTTAACTACCCTCATTCAGTCACCCAACTTTCATCGAACTAATCTTTCTTCTCTCCGCTCTCCGTTCACGGCCATTTTCTCTCCGGCCAGACTATGATCAATACGGCCAAATTAAAGCCCCACACAGTTCAAAATAAAACCCATCACCGTGGCTCCTTCTTCAATTATAGGGTAATCATCATGTTTTTTAAACATATCAAGCCAAAAGAAAAAAAGAAGAATAAGGAAATCAAACCAATTGCAACTCGTTTAATTTGGATCTTCGAAGGCTCGAACGGCGACGGCTTTGTACGGAGAGATCCATCTGATCCGTCTCCTTCAATACGAGCAAAACAAGAAAATCATCGAACGAAACAAACAGATCGACTCTCAATTGACGCAAAAGATTTTCGATCGCCACTGTTGCGGTGTTTAAGGAAGCTGGATAATCTAAAAAAATTTGATTCGCAATGGAAGACAGTGGCCGGCGAACAGAGAGGGATTTAGGCTTGGTCGTTGCTTGTCGACGTTGGGACGAGAAAAGAGAGAGAAAAGATTAACTGGATTATTGTTTTTTAATTTGAGGTTAAATAAACTTTTCATAAGGGGTTAAAAACGGAAATTTAATGGACAAAATGAGTTGTACCTTAATGGGATTGATTAAATTAAAAAAATTATACATTTTGAAATTGGACTATTTTTGTAGGACGGAGGGAGTATATGGATTAATATGATTCAAGGATTTCAATGGCCATTATATGTGGAACAACATGGTATTATTGGTATCGGTAATGATTTCCGATTGTCCCAACAAAAAGCCTGGCAGACAATATTTTTGATACTTTATCGGAAATTTTTCTACCGTGATTGAACATTCCATTCCGATATATTTTCTGGCCACATTAATTTTCCAACAATTTTAAACTTTTCTTGAATTTGTGGCAATGTTTTACTATATTTTAGCCTCAGATGGTAGGAAGTCCATATTAATAAACCGGATAACCTCTAAAATTTGTTACATATTAAAAATTGAATATGAAGTTTGAAACATCATTGAAGAGGACATTTAGTTCATCTTTCTACCGTGATTGAACATTCCATTCCGATATATTTTCTGGCCACATTAATCTTCCAACAATTTTAAACCTTCCTTGAATTTGTGGCAATGTTTTACTATATTTTAGCCTCAAATGGTAGGAAGTCCATATTAATAAACCGGATAATCTCTAAAATTTGTTACATATTAAAAATTGAATATGAAGTTTGAAACATCATTGAAGAGGACATTTAGTTCATAGAATCTATAGGTATCTATTTAAATAAGATTGATGCATAAAGAGTATCCGGATAGCTCTTTCACGCATCAGTAAATCACTAAATCTAATGAGGATTGTGTGTTCAAAATTGAAACCAATTATACCAGAACTGAAGATTATAATGTAATCTAATAAAATATATGATGTGCGGTTACATGACAGACATAGAATTGTAACGGCAGGTAATTTTCTTTCTACCCTTTTTATTATATTTGAAAATGTAGAAAATTGTGAAAAACTACCGATTTCCTCTCTTTGAGTTTTCTGTTAATAAGTTATATAGATTCTCGGGGAAAAAAAATTAGGATTAGTATCCATCATAGGAGTAGGGCCTATAGTTATGGTAGTTATCTGCAATTATCCATCACAAAGTTGGCATTCAGAACATCTTTGACCTTTTAAGAATGGCACGAGAGAAAATCAATATACTCTCTTTTCTTTCAAATACGAATTGTGTTTCTTTTCATTCCGTTTTTCCTTGTCAAAAAAGGAAAAAAAAAAATATATATATATATATATATATATATATATAATCAACTTCAGTGATCATCATAAAAGTATTAACTTCCATAATATATACTATTTTCTACGTTTTTACTTGTAAGATCTCATAGTTAGTAAATAATTTGTGTTACTTTTATGTAATGTTTATTTTAAGAGTGAACCTCAAAACAAGTCATCAACCTTTAATATATTTTCACTCTATGTCATCCATTAAATTTATTTGTAACACAGGTTACCTTACTAAAGTTTTAATCCATTTCAGATCATTCTATTAATTTTGGCCGTTAAATAGTGACGGAAATCCATTTTTCACATGCTTTTGGGTTCAGGGGTATTTTTGTCATTTTATTATTTTATTTGTATTTTTTAATCTTTTTAATTTTTTTTTTACAATTCTTCTTCTTATACTTCCTAACTTGTATACACTGGTAGTATAATTCTAAATTTAAAAAATTTATTTTCCTTTTGTATTTTAACTTCTAGATTATAAAATTTTTTTTTAAAAAAATTCAGAAATGAAGAAGAAAAATTCGAGTTAAAGTAAACATGAAAATAAATAATTTACCATTTTTTAAAAAATAAAAATTAAAATAATTAGCTATGACAAGTTGTTTTTTCTAGATTATTTAATTTTTTTCAACTTGATTGAATTATTTAATTATTAATTTTCACGTTTCTTATTCCCTTTTTTTAATAATCTACAAGTTAATATATAAATAAAAAATTAATTTTCAAAAACGAATTTATTTTTCATTTGTATCTTAACTTCTAGATTACAAAAAATGGAATAAGAAACGTGAAAATTAATAATTAAATAATTCAATCGAGTTGAAAAAAATTAAATAACCTAGAAGAAATAACTTGTCTTAGCTAATTCCTTTAGTTTTTCTTTTTGTTTAAAATGTTAAATTATTAATTTTCATATTTACTTTAACTCGAATTTTTCTTCTTCATTTCTTAAATTTTTTTTTAAAAAAAAGATTTTTATAATCTAGAAGTTAAAATACAAAAGGAAAATAAATTTTTAAAATTTAGAATTGTACTACCAGTGTATACAAGTTAGGAAGTATAAAAAGAAGAATTGTAAAAAAAAAAAAGTTTTAAAAAGATTTAAAAAATTGAAAAAATAATAATAATAATATGACAAAAATACCCCTGAACCCAAAAGCATGTGAAAAATAGATTTCCGTCACTATTTAACGGCCAAAATTAACAGAATGATCTGAAATGGATTAAAACTTTAGTAAGGTAATCTGTGCTACAAATAAATTTAATTGATGATCTAGAGTGAAAATATATTAAAGATTGATGTCTTGTTTTGAGGTTCACTCTTATGTTAAAACTAAAACCAGCAGTACAACGTGTGGAATAAACACTAACATAAAAACAAAAAAAAAAAGAAATTTGCACAAGAAGCGGCTAAAAGAAACAACCTATCCGAGTCTCACTTTATTTATGACTTTCAAACTAAATTATAGTAAGGGAAAATCTAGAGTCCCGTTGGCTAATTTTACGGAACCGTACCATTTTATCTTCAACCAATCAATATTGAGGATATAAGATGTAATCATGGGGTGAGATACATTCTACAATTTCTCAAACTAATTACTTTTTTGGTATCATGGTCTTTTCTATTAAGCCAAATGCACATTTTGATCTTATAAATTAATATTTGGCTAAAATAGTCCTTTATATTTTTATTTGTAACTTTTTTTGTTCTTTGGTACTATTCCAAGAGTTTGACTTTGACCATCTTTATTCCAAGAGTTTGACCATCTTTATATTTAAGTCAATAGGGTATTTTCGTAATAAAAAAATATTTATTTTTCAAAAAAATTAATATTGAATAAAATATTAATAAAAATATTAAAATAATTATATTCATAAAAATAATTACGAATTAAAATAAATATTAAATTAATAAAAGTTAAAAATTTAAATTTTTGAAACTCAAATGAAATTTTTTAAAGAAATAAATGTACCTTCGTTGCACAAATTTTGATATAATTTTTAATTTGGTGCGCTTAGAATGAAGTAAAAATATTACTTTTACGACAAGTTCTGATAAAATGAATAATTAATTTAAAATTTAAGATTATATTCTAATCTAATTTCTTATTTTGGATATGTTTTAATTTATGAAATTGTTGTGAGTTATATTTACCTATTAGTAAAATCTAATAAAAAATTGTAGAATCTACAAAATATAGGATGAAATAGAATGAAAATTCTACAGTGATGGGCTAGAGTTTAAAAAGTACGTCAAAAGTTTTTTTAAAAAATTAAATTTTGATTTTTTTAAAATAATTTTTTTATTAATATTATATTATTTTATTAGTTGTGATTTCAATTTTTAATTAATTTAGTATTATTTTATTTAATATTAATTTGTTAGAAAATAAATATTTTCATTGTAATTGATAAAATATAGGATAAAAATTTTACAGTGATGGACTTGGGTAAAATAAAGAAAGTAAAAGTTTTTTAAAAAATTAAATTTAAATTTTTTAAAAATAATTTTTTATTAATTTTATTTTATTTTATTGATTTTAAAAATTTTATGGGTATATTTTAGAACAACTAAAATCATTGGGGGTAAAGATGCCAAAATTATGGGGTCCGCAAAATCTTTTTCTAATAAAAAAAACTATACAAAGTAACGAAATGTTAGCATATGTAATAACTCTAACTAAATTTTGATCAATTGGCCAGAAATTGAAACTTAGATTATACATTTGGCTTCCAAAGATCTTTTGGGTCAAAATTGGTCAGACACTTGAAGTTTTGGGTAAAATGACCATTTTCTTAATTTTTTTCTGGTTAATAATGTGAATGTAGGTGTATTTACTTATGATGCACCCTCATTTTAATCCTACGGTTATCAATTAGTCTAATTAATCATAAAACGAAATCGTCCCGTAACGGGACTCTATACGCTCCCTTATAGTAAAAATAAAACAAAACAAACACCACTGCTCTTAAACTCTATGCATTAGACATCTCATGCGAATGATTTATATCACTCCATACTACAAAACCAACTTATTTCCAACACAATAGAGAAAAGAAAGTGACAACACTAAATAGTAACATGAGTAGACTGAGGAACACACAGTTCATTCTGATTTCATCGAGATGGCGATCAGGTCACAACTCGATTTGAGTCATGTTGCTTCTAATCATAATAGTAACTAATCATAATAGTAATTGTCATTACAAGTTCCTGAGAAATTAGCATTAAACTTGGATTGCTATACATGAACTACATATTAAGACACTATCACAAGAGTTTGTAACGGAAGGCACAGGTTGACACAACGGTAGAGAATGTACAATCTGAAGTACTAGATTGAATCATACACAAGGTCAAGGAAATGGCTTTGACAAGTATTGGTGCCATTCTTCCGGAGTCCCCTTTCTTGATCTAAGCATCTTGATAGCGGAAGTTGACAAGGGTATTGCAACAATGTCATAATCCTTTGGGGCCTACCAATTGTGTAAAAATTGTCACCAAATGCCGAATATCTGGGCATCAACTGCCCATATACATTTCCAAAATATCGTTTCTACAATTTCTCAAACTGGCTTGCCAAATATGAACAAAGATGAGACATACCTTAGGGACTTTCAATAGCTTCATATTTGCTTCTTCTGGTGTCTTGTGACCCTTTGTGGAATTACATTTCGCACAGGCAGTAACCTGCAATTCAGAAGCCCCCAGTAAACCAATTTTACAGAAGTAGCAGAAAACTATGATTTCATAAAATTTTGTGCAACCTGTTGGACAAATCAAAGGAAAAAACAAGAAGCGATGACTCTAAATGAAACTAAGGGAGGCAAATGGTCTCGAGCAGCTGAAACTCAACAAAAGAAAGCGTAGCTTAGCTTGATAAACCCACTAGTTACATTCTTGGATTCTCCAGCTTCTATGTTCAGCTATAAACTAAAATTTTCTATGAGCATTCACGGTACGGACCTAAATAATTGTGTCAGCTTGGAATCAAGCTACGTCCTGGATAACAGGTATTATTTTATCTAGCATAAAATGAATAAAAGGGATAAAGCTAATAAGCTATCTTCAAACTGAATTAACCTCTGTAGAATGGACATAAAAAGCTGAAAGCATGAAAACTTGCTCTGGAAAATTATTACAGAATTTGAATTCCACATTTTGGGGGAAAAAGATCTGACCATGAGCTAATCAGCTAAAGTCTAATAGACTAGAAGGCATTTTAAGTTGAAAAGCAGTTACAAAATATTCAGTAAAAACAAATCACCTTCTCTATCCATACATTTTAAGTGTTCTCCTTTTAGTGAGAAGTTTAATCCGAGGATGGACAGTAAATGCTCACGTGATATTGGGTGGGGGGAAGAGATGAATTTCCAGTTTAATAATAAAGGCTAATTTAACATATTTTTATTAGAGGAGCCAGGGACAGGATTATCAAGAGTGATCTGAATGTTTGAGCATTATAAACCCGACAATGATGAATTCATACCAGATTTTCCCATGTCCACTCTCCACCTCTTGTAATTGGCAAAACATGGTCGATAGTCAAACACTCACCAGAAGAACAATACCTGCCAGCAAATACAACATTTTCAAAGTGCAGGCACCAGTTATTGCAGTCGATCAATCCACACACAAGTTTAATTGAAGGATAATGATTTGTGCAGGGAAATGTCACAGGGAATTCTAATAGGGAATAAATCATAACCGGGCATACTTATAACTCACATTTAGGGGTTTATGTATTTAAGGGTTAGGGGATAGTTAAGATTCAAACACATCACTCCTTGTCCATTTCCTTGTCAAATTTTTCCTATATGTATCATCACTCTTAATTGAAACATACGATTGCACCCTAATGAGCAAAACAAAAACCAAAGCTGACATAGATGTGAAAGAAGGCATTTATTGGCACAGATAACCCTTCAGCAGCAAGGTATCAAAAGAAGAAAACTGAATGTCTCAAAGAGAACTAACGCAGTCTGGCACATAAGTTTTTGCCTAAAAATTATAGAAACTAGAATACATAAAATACAACAGAGTAGAAAGGTAAAATTGGCACCACTAGTCTCTTAAGTATTTTTGTTGACAGAATATGGAAGTTCACTAAATAGAGTCTTTTCCGCAAGGTTTGTGGTTAGAATGTGTTTCTAATTTCTATCAGAGGGCTAAAACTTCCTCACATAGGGTTTATGGAACTTACACTACGTACTACGGTCTCCATAATTCTCGTACACCAAGGCACCTTCCATTCATGTGTCACATATTTATTATTGAATTCTGTTGGAGGGAGCTCAAGAATATTATAAAATTTAACCTATTAAGTTTGCTCAGAGTGTTACTCAAAGCTGATTCTGTCTAAGCTCCTTTCCATTGAGGCAGCTGCTCGAAGTGATTAAAATGTGAAAGAAGGAAACAGAGTAAACAAACTTGGATGCTGATTAGGATTTCAGGGTTTAATGCTTAAATTCTAAAATCAACAACTGGAAATAAAGTGATAATCCTAATTGAGTTTTCATAGCTGCACCTATTTTGGAGTCCGTGACTGTAAAGCTAGTTTACCAGTACATGGATACCTTGTCATGTAAAGTATTAAAAAGAAGAAGGTGGAACATCTTATGCCATCCCATAGTGGGAAAAAAATACAGGTTGCACGATAGAAAACAGGTTTTGACAATTCATTAGGAAGTGCAAGTCTCAAATGTAATTCATTTGACGCAATAAAGAAGAAGATTAATCATTCTTTTAAATGGAGGGAAACACACATGAAATTGTTCTCAATTCAACACAGTAAACTGTAGATTGAACAAGGGAGATTGGAGCTTTCAAATTCATAATGGAACTGGTCTTTAAAATTCATAGTGGAACTGGTTCCGCATCAGCAGCAAGAGCAGAAAGATTTTCCTAGTATCTTATAATTGGATTCTATCCTAATCACACTTTTCTTAGATGATTTAAAAGTATTCAAAATTTGTTCTCAATAAAAAACTTACTGGCACATGAAATTGTCACGCCAAAATATATTTTTCCGACTAAGGTTTCTCTTTACTCTTCTTCTCTTGACAACCTGCAGTAAGTGAGGGACCTGAAAACGAAAGTAGATGAATGGTCATCTCCTTATTCCATACAAGGTAAGATTAGCCATGCTAAAAGGATGAAACAAGTAACCTATCCCTAGAACCAAATAACTTCCAACCAGTAGCTCTAACCATTTTTATTTTTTGAATCAAGTGAACTCATAATTTAACACTATTTGTTCACCTACTACCTTCCTGAAATAAGTAAAAGCCTTGATTTTAGCAGATCTTCCTCAATTCATCTCACATCTTTAGCTTTGTTTAGTTTCTCCATTCCATCTTGATTTTGAATTAACTTTAGCTGGTTCCTTGAAAATGGTGCTGATTAAAAATTGCTATTTGGTATTACGACAGGTCCACTGTCCTTTTGCACTTAAACAATCAACTTGTTATTGATTATGGTTCTATCATTGTGCCATAAATACAGAAACTTAAACAAGAAACAACTAACATTCATACCATCGAGGAGAAACCTCTTTGGGAATGGGAAAAAGCTGCACTCATGCACACATAGCAAGGGATGCATCTAGTATCACATAAAAAATAGGAACTGAAATCTTCGAAACAAATATGAGCAACAACGCAAGCAACTATGTTTTCTTCTTTCTTAAAAATTGAGAATTTATAGATCGATTGAAGAGTAGATAAATAGCAGCGATTAGAATCATCTAACTAGCTTGCAACTTTACTTGAATTACAAATCATTATCATACTAAATATTTTGGTATCATAAGTTAGAGTAAAAAAGCATCTTCTGTGAAATAGCGCCTTAAGCCTGTCAACAAAATGGAAATCTAGAACAAAAACAGAGAAACAGAACGACTTAGTAATGGTCACACTGTAAAGGATGCTTAAAATGATTACCGTCTCTTACAATCTGAGCCAAGTAATAAAATGTCTTTCATGAAGTTCAAACACTGTGGTAAGGTGGTGGAAGAGGAATAAACTCGTTTTTCTTCTTTTAGGTAAAACACAACCTTTGTCCTGTAAACCATTCCACCCCCCATGGTAAACATAAATAAGCAGGAACAAGGGAAATACGACGTGTTTGATGGCCATTTTTTTGTCACTGTTTATGGGACACAGATAACCATAGTTCTGTGACAGCTTCGTTGGTGTTGATTAAACAATATTGGAAAACAAATCAAAGCCTGTTCCTTTTTGAAGAGATGGGGAGAGAGAATAATTTATCAAGAACTCATCTAACCTTCAGAAACTCTCCAATTCCATGGCCAAGTTAGAAAAAAGACATATACACTCTTATAATAACAGGTTGTAGAAATTATGTTGTCTAAATTTTAAGAAACTTTTAAGCTGATGAATTCAAGTCCGGGAACTCATAAATGAGTTAATCTTCAGTGCAGACACAACTGAATATCAAAATAACTAAGCATATGGAAAATATCACAACCTGTGGGAGTAGAAAATGGGAAAAGAAAAGAAAAGAAAGAGACATCAGAATGTGATTAATGCTCAGGAGTACTTTACCCTCAGAACAGCGGGTATATAGAAAGATCCACTGGGAGAGTTCACAGTTTGAGCATAATACTCTAATACGTCTGCCTACATGGAAACAAAATCATTTCGTCATGTACTAAAGTAAAGCAGCAATTGCAGCACCAATACATTGCAAATGTTAAATCCTGGAAAAGGATTTTTATTTCGTTGTGCATTATAGTCATTTCTATTTGATCTTCCACAAGATAATGCATCTTGACCGTTTCAGCTTAGATTAAACAAAATTACTGTTACCTTCTCCATAAACTCTAGACAGATAGCACGCTTCCAACAGACAACATTGACCGGCCTGCAAAGACATTCATCAAGCACATCAGAGTCCAACTCATCAGGACATTCATCAAGGTTATAGGGATTAACACAACCATAGTTGCCATGGAAACTCGTTATACATAGAGTAACATTGTGAGAACATAAGATGAGAAACCGGACAGCAATGGGCACTTGTACATATGACAATACTACTAATCTTTCCATTGTCTTCAGTTTTCAATAAAATTTGCTCAAACACATAATAACAATGTTAGACGGATATTAGACTCATATGACAGGCCAATTCAAGCAAGGCTTGGGCGTCATCGATATCTAAACATATCCACATGACAACATGCATATTCTGTTGCTGACAGATTCCAATCCATCAAGCCAAATAAGGAACAATGAGAACAGCTTCCAGTGATCAACTATAGCTTCTATGGTGTGTTTGAACATGCAAAGAGATCAAACAATCATCATATCAAGCCTCTTGAAAATCAAAGCAGAACACTTTTCTGCCAATACAAGAACTTATATATTCAAGACTGCATTGCAATAAAATATTCACCGTAGATTAAGAAAATGAGAATGGAGGTAGAGCAGATGCAAACTCAGATTAAGCCATGATTCAAGAAATACGACAGGTAAAAACCCTAAGGTTCAGATTATTTACATTAATGACACGTCATGTCAGTACCATATGTCGGTTTTATCCATCAATGATACAAATCAATCAAGATGGGCATGGTATTCAAATGCAGAGAACACGATGAAATCTTTCAAATTGAGCAATTGAGAGAGACATCACCTGATAAAAAAAAATAATAATTGGTTTCAAATACAGGAAAAAGCTCACCACAAAGTAGCATGGACGAGAACTATTTTATGCCACCAGTATCAAATAACATTGAACGAAACAACTTTTTAGCTCCATTTGTCTGGGAGCTAAACAGGATAGCTCATGTTTTAAAAGACATTATATTTAAAACGGATATAATTCAACCGGAACAAATCTCAAAAATCAAAGAACAGTGAACTCATTTAAGAAAAGAACAAAGTTTCAACACAGCAGCAGGCCAAACAAGTTACTGTATCATACAAACTCATCATCAAACGACAAGAATACTAAATCTGTAGCAGCAGATGAATTAATCGAACCCAATTATCCTCTGTAGGACTAACTAATTACATTAAATCCAAATAAAAGTTGAGGAGACCGAAAAGTTAAGGACGTAAAAAACCTGTAAGATATGTCCAAGACCAAGCCTCTATAGAAGGACAGATCATCATTCTCAAACTCCTCCAACTCTTCCTCAATTAGCCCATCAAAAATTCCATCTTTTTCACTCACAACAGACTCAGGATCAACACCATCATCAGAATTCAATTTTTTCGATTTATGACCAGAAAATGATGAAGCAGAATTAGCCCTCTTGCTACTACTACTATTACAAGCAGGAGAAGAGCTCACGGGTTTCCTCTTGTGAAGAAGAAGATGATGAAATGATGAGGGGAATGAAAGCGGATCACCAAATCTGAGTAGCCCACCACCGCCATTATTAATCGAGAAGCGTATCTTATTCGAATCAAGCCTTATTATCATTCCATCGTTGTTACTCAAGAGTAACTTCAATCGGGATTGAGCTGAAAACTTTGCCATTCAATCAGAGAAAAATCAGAGGGCAATGATGGGGGGTTTTTTTTTCCTTCTCTTTTGGGTTCTTCACTGATGATAGCTTTCCATCAACAAAGAAAGAACAATAAGAGTGGAAAAGCGTTACAAGGAATCGCATGTGACGAAAAACAAGAAAAGTAGTACTCTATCATTTTCATTTCTCCGCGGGAAATTTTTGATGCCACAATTTCCTTGGAATATCTTGCCTCGTTTCCCTCAAAATATCTGTCCTCTAGGTTTGGGGGGGGGGAGAGGAGAGGAGCTAAAAGATTCCTGTTTGATTATTTCCATGCCTATGAGAATTATCTAACGACGGAAATTAACAATAAACTAATCATTTACAACATACTATGATGAAAAAGAAAAGGAAATGCTTTTTGGTAGAGTACTAAAAAAATCCAAATCCATGATACAGCATACACAAGAAGATAGTGTACTAGAAAAATAAAGACAATATATAAGATGATTTTTATGTCTATTGACACACATACAAATTGTGAAAGCTTCTTGTAATATGATTATTATTCAATTTCTTAATGGCACTGAACAAAGAATTTTAGAATTGGATTATCAAAACCTTCAATTCATATGTAATTTTGATAGGATAAAGACAAATGAATGATACCAAACAATGATATTCTGACAATTCTAGAAACGCTTTCTCGGCGGGCAACCTTCAAATGTCTAACATACCTGAGCAAATGGTGAGAGTTTCGTAATGGTTGAAACAATACACTTGGAAGTTGGAGCATACAAATGTATTTGATTGAGGAATATTGGTGAAAGAGGTGAAAATTAAGGCTGAAAATTAGATTCCACTATAAAAGTAAAAATTAATATGTGACAACCTGCAAGTACATAAGTCTATAACTAGTGCAGGTTGAGAAATAGTACCTAGTCTACCATTACAAAAATTTCAAAAAGAAAACAACATCCTTTGCTGCTTTCTCTCAACAACTTTAAAATCGTAAGATTCATAAAATTCCTTAAGAAAATCATTTGCATGATGCTAAATCAATATGGATCGAAGTATAGAAAGGTACTATATATCCAATATTAAACCATATATAGGAATTTATAGTGAGATCATGAGTTGAGCAAAGATGGAGAGGCCAGCCAAGATGAGAGTAGTAAAGATCCCAGCTGGAAGAAGAGAAGACGTAGCAGAAGCAGGCGAGTCCTTGGGAGAGCCTGGAGAAGATTTCCTTGCTGGGTCCTTTTTAGAATCTGAATCTGCAGCCGGAGCAGGTGCCGGAGAAGGCGAAATCGGCTTAGGAGGCGGGGCAAGCCCAATCTTGAAAGTGCACTTTGGTAAGGATGGATCCTTCAAAGTCACAGTTGCAAGGCCATCAAAACCGCAGCTTCCATTAACTTGATTCTGAGTTTGGAAATATTCATTAAAGGAGAATGAGGCCTTCTGTTTGTCATCCAAGAAGTTGCATGACGAATCATCTGCCAAAGGAGTACAATCTCCGCCGTTCTTGCAAGCGTAATCTGCGTTCTCGCCGATTTTGGTGTCGTTCGTTGCGTCGGATTTTAGCACGCACCATTGCTTTGGTAGGTACTTGACGTTTTTAGCGCCGATCATGGTCTTGTTTTCGCCTTTTCCGGAGAGGTCGAGCGGGAATTTAGGTTTGCCGTCGTAGGTGAAAATGCCCCAACTACGCTCGAAATCTCCCGGGAGAATACTCTTTGCATCCTCATCAAGAAGCCCAAACATGTAAACTTCCAAATACCCTGGATGTAGAGGGCTCCCTTTGTTGCTCGCCAAGTGCTTCATGAGCCCTTGGTAAAACCTAGATGCCAAAGTCGCATTGGCAAACTCGTTTCCGTCGGTGGGCCACCCGATCTCTCCCACGATGATTGTCATGTTGGAGTAGTTTTCGGCCTTTAGAGCCGAAACCAATGTATCCAAGTTGGCATCCAAGACATTTGTGTACGCGATGTCGCCGTCCTGTAAGGGTGTCGCGCCATCGAAGAAGGCGTAATCAAGCGGGAAATTCTTGCCAAAGTAGAGGCTGAGGAAAGGGTATATGTTCACCACGAACGGGGAGTTGTTGTCGTCGAGGATCTTGAGAATGTCTCTCAAGTCTTCGACAATGTCAGGACGGAAAATTCCACCCGAAGGGGTGGGCTTCCAAGCTGGGGACATATAGACATCACCATTGAAGGGAACTGTGGCTTTGATCGTTTTTCCGAGTCCAGCTTCATTAAGAGCATCTTGAATGTTCTTCAGTGCCGGGGCTGTTACGTTTGTGAACCTGTCTTTGTAGTCTTTGAGAAAAGGCTCATTTCCAACAGCAACATATCTGCATGCATGTACAGAACTTTAAAATTGTAAAAAAACCGTGTATTGAGAATGTAAAAAATTGCGTCATTACGTACGTAATGTTAACCCCGGTTTTCGAAGTGGGGTTGTAGGGGATGACATTTTGTTTCACCCAGTCCTTGGCTTTTGAAGCATCAACGAAGTCAGCGAGCTCTAGGTTGGTAGTGGCAATAATCGTCTCAATGCCTGTACCAGCCAGAGCTTTCAAAATTTTGGGATCGGCATCGAAGAGTTTCACCTTATTAATGCCATTATCCTTCAAAAGTTGCACCACGATTTCAGGGGGCAATGGATTGGATGAAACAGTCCCCCAATTCACCCCCAAACCTTCAACATTTTGCAAAAAATTTGCAGCCACCAACACCAAAAATGAGCTAAAGAACAACCAGGACCTTGACATTCTTGGGGGACCCAAATGACAAGGGGAGTTCTTTGTTTATGATCGATGGAAAACAGGGTGAGAAAAAGTTGTAATTGTATGATTACAAAAAAAAATAATGATCGATCACAACAAGAATGGATGGCCTAACTGAGCTTTATATATGAGTTATTTTATGTAGGATAACCTTGGAAGTCCTCATTTCTAGGAGAGTTTCTCGAGTTTGAACCTCCCATGTCCGAGACACTTATAACATTTGTTTCTTTATTTGACCAACTTACAGCTACATAATTTTTGAGGTATACCCACGTAGACCGCTGAATTTGGTTTGCCTAGTTAGTTCATTAACAACTCCGAGTTTTTTTATAATGAGAAATATAGGCACAATGTAAAAATCAAGACCACACTTCAATAACGACATTGATATTTGTACAACTATTTTTCATATTCTTTCCTTCTTTCTCCTTTTTTTTTTTCATTTTTTTTCCTTTGAATTCATTGTTCTTATATGCACTTTTATGTTATTTTTCTCACACTTTTATTCACATAATTTATCTCAGTTATTATTTTTGTTCTGTTAGTAGATTGAAAAATTTTAAAACATTAGACATTATTCTAATTCAAATGCTTCAATTTAAAATCGCACATATTTGAATTATTTTTGACATAAAAACTTAATTGAATTAAAGTGTTCAAATGATTTATATCTCATACGTACGCTAAAGCCCAACCAAATAAAGATGGTTAAAATCTACTAATTAAAAATAAATGTTTTAAATACACAGTATTTTATCGATCACATTGTTCTTAGACTGAGATGCAACTTCGTTAAAATGGTTAAATCCTACTCTAGTAGCATTATGATCTAAAAAATTGTAAACTTGAAACAAAATAAAAAAAAAAAGTAAAATGCATAGTTTTTTTGTAAGACTATATTTGAAGTATTTAATTTTCAATACACTAGGATTTAAGTACTTGATGTGATTTTGATTTAGGTGCAATCACTTCTGAAAGTAATCTTCTTATGTATCTATCAGCACTCACAAAGAATAAAAAACTTTAATCTTATCGGTTAAGCAAAAAAGACTAAGGTTCCATTTAGACAAGATTTTTGAAAAGTTGTTCAAAAAAGTCTGTTTGAAATAAAAGTTGAAAAAGTAATTTTTGGAAAATAATGCATTTGGACAAGAATTTTTCAAAACCCCTTTAGTAGTTAAAAATATGAAAAAGCCATTTGGATTAGATCTTTTTTAAAAATACTTTTTGTTAAAAAATAATTAATTAACTTTTTTTTTTTGAAATAACATTATTCTTTCACGAATTTTTATTTTCATTTTTTCACTTTTCTTTTCTAAATTATTTTTTGATTATTCACAATTATTTTGTTCTAAATTTTCGGCAGAAGTATTCAACAGATGGAGATAGAACTAACATAAAGATGACTGGAGTATGATGATGCCAAGAGACAAGCTGGGATAAGCACCATGTTCTCATAATTCCAGCCAAACAAAAAAAAAAAGAAACACAATGATGCATTTTCATTCCATCCTGTTCTTTTTCCCAACTAAAACACAACAGACCGCAAGTGGATATAAACTTTGGAGATGCGCTTTCCAAAAAATGATGCATTTCCATTTCTGACTTCATGTACAGCTGGAGATATAGACAAGTTAAGCAACACTGTGGTTAATCAGAAAGATTAAATTCAAACTCCATCTACCTCCTCCAAGAGCTTTTGCTCATAGGGATGGCTTAGATTTGTAGTACAATTCTAATTAGCTTCTAGTTGTAAAACTATACATGTGTCAAGAACTCTTCAAAAAGGAGTCTCACAAAATTTCCCATCTATCCTGTTTTGCACTGCTTTAACTGCAGCCACTCTTGCGGCAGTTGCGTCTCTGTTTGCAGCCATTACTGCCTTGTTTACTTGTTCATCTACTGCACGAATATGAATCGATTTCTCAGCAGTTTTTCTAGCAGCCTGCAAATTTCACAGAAATTAATTACTGTTAGATAACATTGTTAGACTTGGAGATTAGGAATCAACTGGCATTTTTGACCAAAGAGTAGTGCTCAGAAAGTTACATGCACTGCTCGAAGGACAGCATCACTTGATGGAGGAAAGGCAGCTTTAAGGTTGCCACCATCCCATTCCCTACATTTTCTGTCACCATTTCTGAATATGTAATTGCCATTAACCTTGTTTCCTGCCTTCATGCCATGATCCCTCGTAACAATGGCCATTTGCAAAATGATAAACCCCAAAACCATGAATTTTATCACCTAAGTATTCACCAGCATACCAATCCCCGTTCCTCTAGAACAACCAGATTCATTCTCAGTTATTAAAGCATAGCAACAAATGTCATATCTCTAAATTTGAAGTGGACGGAATTTCAGAGGACTCTCTCTGCTAGATCATAACATGCATGTTAAGTGAATCAAATTCGAAGTGAAAACTGTACGTTCAAGATGAATCAAATTTGACTACACCATTCTCTCACATCTGTGGCAGGATCATACTGATTCTAATTCTTATTAAAAAACAAACACAAGTGCCCTTCATTACCAATCCGAAATTCTGAATAAACAAAATATTTTCCATAAGCCTTGACTTAATTGTTCAAACAATAAAATGATGTATCCTCATTACAGAATAACGTAATCACAAATTTCCATCACTTTAACTTGGAACAAACAAGAATTGAAAGGGCCCTGACTATTAATTTTGGAATCATCAAAGAGACTGCAACATCTCAATAGAGCTACTACACCCAAAATAGAGAATTTAAAATTATTCTAGGAATTAAAATTTGACTCACCTGAAATGGTAGACACCAATGCCATGTTTGCCACCATTTTTTAATTCACCAATGTAACAGCTGCAATCAGAGCAAGATTGCATTCCAATACCATTGACTCTAGCCTAATCTAAAATTTGCAGAATATTCAGCAGAAGTATTCTGCTTCTCATCATCATCGCAGGCGCTTATTACATTAGCAAAAACAAAAGATTCACAATAAGCGAAAAAATAAAAGACCTTTTATTATGCTTATGCTTATACTCATTGCTCCCAGGAACAGGGAGGGGGGGTAATGTCTAATATCCAAAGTTAAATAAACAAACACATCACCATTTATAACCATATTGCCAGAAGTAAACCTTGGAAAGAATTTATACAAAAAGTTTCAAATATAACAATCAAAGTTCTGTGTAACACAACAACAAGCCTTTCTCATACTATGCAAGGCCGGCATTATAAATCATATGTCCCATTGTGCTCAGTTTACTAGTACAAAGTGATAAATTCAAATAATTTTTCTCCACCCGAAGTTTTGAGAATCCAAATCAGTCTCTAAGTAGTAGTTATCTTAACAAACAAATTAGCGTAAACAATGACTTACTTGATTCGTAGCTCGAATACAATTAAATATTCCAAAATCATAAAGCATGTCTTACAGATTTCTCCTCGCACTGATACAAAGGGCTAAAACATGAAAAACTAAAGTGAATTATTAACCATTTACTGATACCCAAATTTACTGCAACTTTTTCAAATTGAACCTGAATTTTCTTACCGCAGAATAACCGATCAATCTCATGTCAGGATCTCAAAGAGAAAATACTTTGTGATACACAAACGGTTAAATTTTAAGCACATATCTACACTTTACAAGCATTGCACAAGATTTACGACCTCATTTATACCACAAAAAAACTAGAATACACTAAACCAGACCGTAGAATAGGAGGACAACAAATAAGGGCTTTAAAGGAACTACATAGATACAAAGAAGGTAGATAATAAACTGGTTAATCAAGAGCATCTCCATGAAGAAAAGAAGTAAGTGAAACATCCCATAAATGACCGAATACCCAATACAGCAAGGGGAGAAAAAATCACAAAGAAGGAAACTTATTGTCCCTAGTTGCCGCTACTCACAAACTGCACCAATTCTCCAAGATCGGCTCAACCTTCTTCCTCTTGGCTTGTTTCCTCTCGGCTTCTCCTCTTGCTCTGATTTGTTTCCTCCGGTCCTCCCAATTCACTTTGGCTATAGCCCTTCAATCAATCTTAAGCTTATTGAAAGTTACAACTGAAGCCCCTGAAAGAAAAACCCATTTGAAAGCTTCAAAGGGATGGTGGGTGCTGGATCGCCGTGCCGCACGGCGGAAGGAGAGAAGAATGAGAAAGTGAGACAGCGAATCTAGGGCATGGGCAGAAAGAGAAGGAAAAGTATTTTTCCTTTATATTCATCACCCGAATTTTTTATAACCCACCCTAGACCCGGTTTAAGACCTGCGAATAGAGAAAAAGCCTGTTTCAAAAAATTGAAAAACACCCCCTACCTATTTTTTAAAAAGTCTGTTTCAAGCCTCTTTTTTTTCAAAATGATGTTTAGAAAAGATCTTAATTATTTTGCCCAAACGCATTTTAAACTCTGAATAGAATTTTTAGCCTTAAAAGTCTTTTTAAAACTCTTGTCCAAATGGAGCCTAAGAGTTTTTTTAATGAAATTTAACCAAGATGATACTTAGCGGAAACGACCCCATATCATTGCCACACAGATAGTATCCCTTAATCTATTCAACTATGGAAATATGGGGGAAAAATATTTTGATCAATAATCAAAAGGCCTTTTATTACTTATTGGATACTTGGAAAAACAAGAAAATAATTAAGTTTCCAAGCAAAGCTTCTCGCACCAAACTATTAGCCACAACATTTGCTTCCCTTAAAATGTGAGTGATTGAGAAATTTCTTCTTTGCTTAATTGAGTGAACCTATGTAATCTAAAAATGGTATCTTTATAGATTGACTTCTCCACTTGCTGAAAAAGATCTACCACCACTGTATTGTTTGTTTGTACTACTGTGTCAAATTCAATTGTTCATATTTTCTCAGTCCAAAAACAACACCATATATTTCTGCCTTCAAACTATTCTCCTCTCCAAAAGATCACGCATCTCCATAGATAAATATTTCCAACTGATCATCCTTATTCTTTTGTGAGATTAACCAAAATTTTAGAGTGTAAGCACATTGGAAAAATTTAAACTGCAACATTTAAACTTTATTTTAAACTTTTTTTTTAGTGAAAACTGTAAAATTTCATTTACACTGATAAAAGAGTTCCAGTACATGTTCCCTACCAAAATTGCTCTTTTATACAAAACTCTTACTCTATACAAAAATCACAAAACTATGGATACAGTTATTGCAAGATAAAGCTCCTCTTTTGCTGACTTCTTTTTCCTACACTGTTGCATTCTGATTTTTACCACCTGTTGCACCTCTTGATAGATCAGATCCACCGTTTTCCTTTGCTGCTTAAAGGTGCTTCTGTTTCTCTCTTCCCATATGAAGTATATACAAGCCACAATGATAGCATACAAAATCTTCTTCTTCAGCCTAGTGTTCTGCCAAGCTGCTGTCAACTCTTGCTTCCATTGCCCTTGTTGGATTGTGAATTTTCGCAGCCCTAATGAGCATTTTATCATCCTTATCAACTCTTGAGCAAATTGGCATTCAAAGTACAGGTGCACCACTGATTCATTTTCTGCTTCACAGAGACAACATAGAGCATCCTGCACCTGTATATTCAATTGCAGTAACCTGTTCTTTGTCCAGATTCTGCCCTGCCACTACAAATGAATGTTTTGGTAGATTACATCTTGACCAAATCATAGAGGCTTCTGCTCGACTTTCTCCAGCTCCCATAAACAACCTGTAACCTGATGTGGTTGTATATTTCCCTTGTTTCCCTGCAAGCCATTTTGCACCATCAAACCCCTGTCTTGTTTTGCCTCTGAGTTTGATGATTTGCTTCCAATGCCAACTGCTATCAAGTTTGATCTGCACTTCCCAAATGCTCTTCTTTCCTAGATATACAGAGTAGATCCATCTGACCCATCGGTCGTCCTTTTTCATAGCTAGCCACCACACTTGTTTGAGGATAGCTGCATCATTCCATATCTTGACATCATAATTGTGCAACCCTCCTTCAGCTTTTCTCCTACACATAGTGTCCCAACCCACCAAAGCATGGTATCTTCCAGATTCCTTCACTCCCCATAGAATTTCACGGCATTTCTCATTAACAGCAGCAAGAACACTACGCAGGAAAATGAAGGCAAATGCCCAATAGACATGCATATTCATTAAAACCGAGTTGATGAGTTGTAATCTCCCTGCATAAGACAGATGCCTCGTACTCCAACATTTTAGACTACTAAACATCTTCTCAACCAGCATTTGATATTCCAACTGATTCCATTTTTTGGGAGATAATGGAACCCTCAGATATTTCATGGGAAACATCCTTTCCTTAAACCATGTTATTTCTATTATCTTCTGCTTCATCCTCTCATCTACCCCCCTGTGAAGATTTCTGATGGTTTGCTTTGAGTCTGGAAGTTAACGAGAACTCATCAAAAGCTTTACAGATGAGTTCAACACAACCCACTTCAGCTTTGCAGAAGACAATTAAGTCATCTACAAAGCAAAATATTTGTTAACTTCAAATCACTACATAGAGGGTGGTATTGAAACTCAGGGTTATCTACTACTTCCTTTAGTTGTCTTATTAAATACTCCATTAGCATCACAAACAGTAACGGGGAGATAGGGTCCCCCTGTCTCAATCCCCTTTTCCCCTTAAAAACCCTACATTCATGCCATTTAAACATAACGAAAAGGATGTTAATCTTACATTGCCATGATCCACCAGTAATTTTCCCTTGAAAACTGCTACAGGTTTCTTCTTTTCCAGATTTGCAGCATAGGTCCAATTCGATTGTGCCCAAAACTATGCCAATTTGTACTAATTTGCCCACTTTTTGTCCATAATTGTAATTAGATCCCTTCACCACCAAAGGTCATAAAACATAGTTAGAAACATATAATTCCTAACTAAATACTACAATTATATGTAAATGAGAGGCAAATTAAGTATGCTTTTTAGAGGTACATTTGACTCTCATAAAAAACCATAACCATAAAGGCACTCCTCTACAAACTCCCATTCAACAGAGTCGTAAGCCTTTCTCATGTCAATTTTCATTAAGCATCTACTACTAACCCCCTTCTTCTATAAAGCCTGATAAGTTCTTGGGTTATAAGTACATTATGCAGTATCAATCTACCCTCAACAAAAGCCCCTTGGTTCCCATAGATTAGTACAAGTAGTACTTTAATTTTTCAGCCTATTGCTTAATACTTTAGATATTATCTTATACAAGA